TAGAGCAGGAGGAGGAGGAGGAGGTGGAGCAGCAGATCGAACCAAAGGAGGAGCACAGCAACGAGGAGGAGCCACAGACCATGACAGAGATGCCAAATAAAACCGATGAGCAAAAGAGGAAGGAAGAGCGGGGAGAACGGGAGCCCATCTACGAGAATGTCAGCTCGACTATATCTATGCATGAAGTAGATAATGAACAGATAGCAACGATGACGATATCCACACAGATACAGACACAAACACAAACACAGATACAGACACCGATACAGCAGGGCACACAACAAGCCTCGACGCGGAGGAGCCACAGGAGAAGCATTCCAAATAAACAAACGAGCAACGGCAACAGTAACAATAAAGAGAATAATCAAAATACTAATCAAAATATCAGCAGCAACAGCAACAACAGCAACAGCAATCAAAATGAGAACAGCATCGGAACAAACGGAACAGTCGATCCAGAGCCCTACTATCAGGTGCCCAAGGCAACGGAGCCCTACTACGATGCGCCCAAACATCTGCGACCCATTCCGGTGTACGAGAACATTGACATATTCTACACGGGCCTGGAGCTCAGCCAGAGCTCGGGCGCAATGCCAATGGGCTCGATGGAGCCGCCCAAAGAGAAGCCACCGCCGCCACCCACCGAGAGTCCGCCGCCACTGCCCGTGGACGAGGCCTCGCTGGGCCACGACGACGACGAGCTGGATGGCCTGTGCAGCAGTCTGGGCCACAACACGGACACCTGGTCGTCGGACAACACCTACGAGACCATCTCGAATGGAACGCGCCGTCACATGCAGTCGTCGCAGCTGGAGCCGGCCCAGCCCTCGCCGCCGATCAAGCGCATGAACTCCACGAAGCGAATCAAGAAGGAGCTGCGCAACAAGCGGTCCAGCTTCCTGGGCATCGAGACGGACGGGGATCTGGACGATGTGGAGAGCTACCTGGAGCTGACTGTCGCCCCGCCGCCGGACATGGCGCAGCTGCTGCAGGAGGAGCGACGCCTCGAGAAGCAGCTGTACATCAAGGCGGGGCTCTGTGATAGTTCCGATACAGGTGAGAGAGACAGAGACTAATGGGTGGAGAAAAAGCCCATAGGGGTGTGCCGCCTGGGGGGTGGAACGTTGAGGTTAAGCATAAATAATCCGTTTAGTTGCTACCAAAGTGCTGGGCAGAGAGAGACGAAACTAACCACGAAATTCTCTCCACTTTGCCATTCTCCCAGGAGAGAGCCGCGACTCTGGCGTGTCTGAGAATCATTCCCGCCAGAGCAGCGAGCACTACACCAACTCCTCGGAGGAGAACGACACCCAGTCAGAGGCAACGCCGCCGCCGCTGCCGCCGCCACCAGTGTCGGGGCTGGGCGGCGAGATTATCTACCAGAACGAGAACCTGCTGGCAGCGCAGACGCCACTGCTGCAGACGGTGAAGGGAAACTCGGCCGAGTCCTGGACTGAGTCGGCAACGGCGGCGGCCGCGGCCACACAATCGCTGAGCGAGGCCACGGCCACGGCCAATGCCAAGATGCAGTCCATCGAGGAGAAGATACGAGAGCAGGGGGAAGTGCTGCGCGTGGAGCGAGAATTACTGCACTTTTCGGTGAGTACGGCAGAGGGAGGAACTGAATGGGAAACTAAAACGTAATCGTTTCCAGCAGGAGGAACTAAAGCGCCAGCGGGAGAACCTTTTGCTGCGCGAGAACATAGCCCGACGGGAGCTGCAGCACGGCGCCAAGATGCTGATGTCCAACAACCGCCGCTCGCTGCAGGATCTGCATCATGGTCTGGGCATCGGCAACGGCATGCTGAGTGCCTTCCAGCCGCCACAGCACCAACAGCAGTTGCAGCTGCATCCACATCAGCCGCATCCCCAGCAGATCTACGCCAATGTGCCACAACAGCAGCAGCAGCAGCAGCAGCAACAGCAGCAGCAGCAGCAGGCGGCGGCGATGTATGCGTACCAGCAGATGGACACGGACTACCGCAAGTCCATGTCTGACCTGAACGAGTTCTCCAGTAGATTGATGCTGGCGCCACCGACACCGCCCACGAAGCCACTCCGTGCCATGCACATAGCCAACGGACATGGCCTGGAGCCGGACTATGCGGTGAGCACGCGGCAGCGCCAGAGCTCCGCCAATGCCTATGGCGGTTCGCTGGTGAAGATTGCCGGTGCACCGATGCCGCCGCGACACTCTGGCGCCGTCTATCCCACAGCCGTGACAGCCTCAGCGGCAGCCGCCTACCATCATCAGTCCGCCCAGAACTTGAGCAACATGTCGCGGAACACCCTCTTGGCGCTGAGTGCCACACCCAAGCCCAAGTACACCGATGGCTGGGTGCAAGTGCAGCAGCGGAAGAGCTACGACAGCAACCTGGCCAACGATCCGGCCTGGCTGTCCGCCCAGCAGCAGAAGCGCAAGTCCATGCCCGACTACAATGGGGCCATGTACAACAACAATCACTGGTTGCTCCAGGAAGCGGAGCAGCGACGCATCGAGCAGCTCAACAGGCGATCAATGCCGGGCAGCAAGACGAATGGCAAGCCCCTGCCCGACTCCATCATCCAAACGCTGACGGAGCGGGTGCAGAGCAAGGGCATTGGAGAGCGCAAAAGGTTGGTGGTTTAATGTGCTTAAATGTGTGTAATCTAATCGGATGCATCTCCACCCAACAGATTCGATGGCAATGGCAATTATAGCCAAGTCAATGGCAACACCAATGGCTACCAGCAGCAGCAGCAGAAGCAGAAGCAGCCCATCAGTAGCAGTAGCAATAAATCCACAGCCACAAGCAGCACGAACAACACGAGCAACAATGGCAGCCAGGAGAAGGTGCTCAGCGTCAGTGGCAAGAAGAAGTGCTCTCATTGCGGCGACGAATTAGGTAAACTTTGCTACTACGTTGGTTGTGAGTGTTGCGGTTCTATCTATGTCTACCAACTCCTGCTCTTCATTCGCCTTGGCCACATTCTCTAGGCTTGTCAGACACTCAGACACTCACCAGTAACGGGTCATGGAATGAGCTTTCTCTTTCTATCCTATCTCTCCTCCATTTCTCAACTCTCTGTCTCTGTCTCTGTTCTCTGTTCTCTGTTCGCGCTTACATGTCTGTCTCAGATCTGGGCTGCACCCACGACAACTGTCGCCACGTGCACAAAGCGCTCAAATATATTGTTTGGGTGTAATCCAACAACGTATCGTAATATCAATTATAACTACAATTAACAAAAAGACTAATATCTGACTAAGCTTGAACTAACCACCTAAGGTAGTATCAATTTCAGTGGAAAAGAAATGTAGAGAACTCTCTTACTAATGATTGATTTTGTCTGCCTTCGCTGCCAGGTCGAGGGGCTGCCATGATCATTGAATCGCTGCTGCTGTTCTATCACATCAACTGCTTCAAGTGCTGCGTCTGCCACGTCCAGCTGGGCGACGGACTCAATGGGACGGATGTGCGGGTGCGCAACCACAAGCTCCACTGCCAGAACTGTTACTCCAGCGACGACGGCATCAAGTTTAGCTGCGTTTAGGCGTGGGAGTCGGAGTGGTAGTGGTAGTGGTAGTGGGAGGGACTACTGAATGATTGTTGTTCTTGTTCTTGTTGCTGTTGCAGCATTGATTGTTGTTGTTGTACTATTACTAGGAACCTAATGACCTAATTCGTATGTTCATGTTGAGAACAAAGTCAAAGCAAAGTCAATACAAAGCAAATGTTTCAGAATAATGTTAATTGCGTTCGTAAATAAGTACGAACATTTTTTGAATGTCTCTTTGCATTGCTTTTTGATTCAGAGTTTAACGTTTTATATACGATATTCTACATACATTTATTATAATACATATACATACATACATACATACATATATACATATGTTTGAAAACAAAAGCCAAGCTCTCTAATGTTTTACGCAAAGTCAAAGTCAAATTTCAAAGGTATGCATACGACATAAGATTTATTGTGTGTTGAAAAGTATAAGAGAAAAATGAAAAAAAAAACAAACAAAAAAAGTTCTATGAACATTGTTAAAATTTTTGAAATTGTATATTGCTTATATAGCCCCCTACTTACAAACAAACAAAACTAAATTGTACATTTATTTCCCCAACAAAAGCTTCATACACATTTCTGTTTCCCCACGCCCTAATGCCCACTTAACATACCTAACGACGTATCCAATGTACCTAAAATTATAAACAGAATACCCTTACACACACACACACGCACGCAACACACTAAAATAAGTACATACAATTATATGCATATATCTACATAAGGATATACATATAACAAGAAACAATTTAATTTCTAAATGTCGTTATTCTTATTTATTGTAATTAAGCATATAAATGAAAAGCTTGGATATTCTACACACTTTCTGAAGTTTATGATTAACCTTTAAAACTGATTGGTACACTCTACCCATATGAATCGTGTTTTCTGTATAAAAAGAACATTTTGAATTTCGCGTAGTTTTATAATAAAGTATTTAAAAGAACAATCTTCTCCCTGACGAGCTAATTTCTTTGTATTTATTCAGTTAAGCAGCGCTGGCGGAACGGCAGCCCTGTTAACAGCCCACATTTAACAGCCTGCTTCCGCTCTCAGCTAACAGCATGTAGCGCAGCTGTCTACTGTGCTGTTAAAAATTGTTCGGAGAGCGCACTGAGATCGCGATCGCTGTCACTTTTATCAGAAGTTAATATGACCAGATCTATTAATATATTATTGATTCATGATCTAGACCTTCTATGGGTATAGGACAAGGCTCTGCCGCGGCGTTGCCGCTTACGTACACGCGGATTATAGTGACCAATTCCAATGTTCTAAATGTTCTAAATGCTCGTTAATTGTTTGGGTTCCGAGCCCTGATCTAGACAGAAAATGTTAGATTACGTGATAGTCATTTCACAATGGGCAAGACGGAAGTAACTCTCGGACTTTTTAGTATTCTTTCTACCTGACAATAAACCCATTCATATTTATAAGTACATTCAAAATCACTGATTGGTCTACTTCTTTGGCGGTGCTTACATTTGGATAACAGCAGCAGCTGCAACCCAACCTCCTGAAAACTGTATTTATTGTGTGTTGTGGACAGTAACTCAAAAATGTTAGTTGGGCGGACAGCAGACGATGCTCGGATCATCGCAAGGATTTAGTTTCGAGAAGTGTGATATGCCCGCCGTCTGCAGGAATATCAGGTAATCCACAAACATATTGTAAGTCCAGAACTTTTGATTCCTGCACGTGAGACTGTGGTGGTAACCGGCATTTCGATCGTATATCAATTTCCGAGCACTATCCGTGCCCCCCTGCCATTTCTGTGTCGATTTTTGGCTGCAACTGTAAAAATGTATTATCCGTTGATGGTCTCGAATGTCTCAGCAGTGCGCCACTTACTGCTTAATCAGTGTCAACCGCTTGAGTTTCTTGAAATCTTCGGATTGCGCCACTGCGCGCAATGCCGGTGGACCGTCGCATCGCTTTGTGATGGTTATTAGGGAGTGAAATGGGATCTCATGGAAGCGAATCGGCTCCACAACGAGCCCGATGTGCGTCACCCGCTCGGGCCAATTGTAGTTTAGCCAAACGATAGCCGCCATCAGAACCTACGGAGAGGGCTCTAGATGGATTATAGAGTTTCCAGCTATTCCTGGAATTCCGTTACGCACCTCCCATTCTGAATTAACCCACAAATGGCCCTTGAGCAAACGTCGCACTAACAGCGGCGGGAGTCTGACGAACTCGGAGCTGGCAACAAACTGCAGAAAGACCTCAGCCACGCGGGGCATCAGAATCTCATTGAGTTTCACACTGGCATTGGGGCAACCGCAGAGGACCATCGTGTTAAAACTGTCCTCGGTGACGGTCTCGAGAATCTCCCAGCATTTTCGGTGCAAATATTCGCAGCCCAGGAACTCGGCGGCCTTTACAATATTCAGTAACGAGGAGTGCCCGATGTAGTCCTGGTCCTTACCCTCGAAGGGCCAGCGATAGAGAATGCCAAAGTCATGGGCGCTAATCACATTTGTGGATATGTGGTACTCCTCCTTCGGCTCCAGTTCGCGGAACAACTTACTAATAACCTGCAGGATAATTCGGTGGCATTCGAATCGCTTGTTGTCCACCACTATCACCAAATCGGTTGAAGCTTTGTTCTTCTCCATGGTGTGCATCAGCGAATGGGCCACGCTTTCGCGCCCAGGATATTGGTGTTTCGACCACAGGTCCTGCGTCGACTCGTACGATGGCAAAAATGTGGCCAACTTTGTCTTGGGGCCAGGCTTCTGTGCAGGCGACAGCATTGCTGGCACAGCATTGCTTTCGGGTTTCATGTCTGAAAAATTAAAATTAATCTAGTAGTGACAGCAGCCTCCTCGATTCTGAATCCGGACTCAGATCAGGGAATTCCGCTTAGATGCGATGAGGTCTATAAAAGTTCGCCTTCTGCAGCTTATGTGTGGGCGATCCAATCCCTTTATTACTGAGAAACATCAAATAGAAATAGATTGTTGTTACACAGCTTTCGACTTAAAAAGAAACCTCAGGCCACCCTACACATAGGTGTCGGTGGGCCTAGGCTGTGGGCAGGAACGTCAACTTCTCGTTGAGCTGCAGCTGCGTCTTGATAAGCTGGGAGAGCGTGATGACCATCAGAAGGTTGCGCACATTGGCGTTGAACATTTGGGTGAACTGCTCGTGGCTCATGTGCGGCACGGAGTGAATGAGGTCGAGCAGCTGGCGGCCGACAGCGTTGTCCGGCGTCACCTTGTGGGCAATCACATCGTCGACGTACTTCAGGATGAGGTCTAGCAGGGATTGCAGCTTCGTGGATGCTTCGGATATTTGGGCCAGGTCCAGCATGGGCGGCACAGTTTTTGGACGGTTGGCCGGGGCCACGCCCACCGTCTTCTGCAGCAGCTTCAGGCCAAAGGTCTCTGGCTCGTAGCTGGTCAACTCCACGGGAATGGGTGTGAACATGCAACCGGATTTTCCGCCGGGCACGCCCAACTGGATGCACACATAGGACCGCAGGCCCATGCGTCCGCCCTGCAGGGATGTGTCCACGGTAAGATGGACCGGATTGTTGCACTCCCGGGCGTAATACTCATGAATGACGGAGCTGTGGTTCGTCACATCATTGCCGGTGGCCCACCAGCCTATAACGAACTCGTTGCTGTTCACCCTCTTGTTCAGGTCGTACATGTCCAGGGCATAGCTCAGCTCCGCCTCCACCTGGTCGTCGTGTTCCTTGTGCGGCACACAGAAGCAGTTGGTCACCTCGACGACATTATTTTCCACCGATCCCAGCAAAGTGCCGATGACGCGTTGTGACTCCGCTGCGCGGCGCTCAAATGCATCCACCACCTGGAAGAGCACCACGGGATGGACGCGAACAGTAAGATTTAATGCTGACATATTGTTCAGAATGCAGTGCAATTGCAAAAATTAGAAATTTTTAGCGAAAATTTAGTCGCCACGCTGTGTTTGAGAGTGACCGCAGATTTTTCGATACAACATACCGCATGACCCTCAAAAATATCCCAATATATAACTTTACATTTTTAAAATATACTGTAAATATACCGTAAATCTTAGATCATTTTCCTCGACTTTCATCTTCTGTTTAATATTACTACGTGGTTAGGATTTTCAGGTTTAAAAATGTAATTTTACTCGAATCACCACTTAATCTCCACAAGATTTTCTGATTTTCATGACATATCTTTATTGGATTGATGTCAAAATAAGGTTTAAGCTAAGAAGGGCAACCACAAAAAAAGCATTTAAAAGTTACGTATCTTACAATTTTTGCTGACGAACTGTATACCCAATTTGCTATAATTAATATTAAAATTTCATTTTACCAGCTGATTTTGAGAATTAACAATGATTTTTTTCTTAGACTGACACGCTCTTAGCCTTTTAATATGTTTTCTATGTATACACTTGTACGTACTATACGATCTAGATACATTCTGGGTATCCATAATCTGCAAAATTTCATTGAGAGGCTCACGAACACAGATTGATTTGTTTGGAGCCAGAGTTTCCTCAATTCGAGGATATCCATTCCTCCAAGGGTACTAAATGTTGATAAATATCCCCAAAAACATATGTATAAATACCGTTGCTGTTCGCTCTACTCATATGTTAAACATGTTGGCAGCCATGTTAACAGCGAGCTTGTTGTCAACGAACATGTTGACAGCGAACATGTTGGAAGCGATTGAGGGACCTCTGCCAGCGGTTACCATTTGCTTGAATAAAATGTACTTTGTGCATATAGAGGATCAGGTGGAATTTGAAACATATTGAACATCTGGTTTGTCGTGAGTGGATTTTAAATATAAACCCCATTCTTGCTACCACCTTGCCAGTATTTAATCCTGTCCACTGTGTTGATTCCACCGCTAACATTACGGAGTAGATCATCCACAGACGAGAGTCAACAGACAAAAAAAGAAGCGCCTCATGGACTTTGTTTACATACATATAAACAAATTTTTATTAAATAAGTTGTTTACATCATGCACACATTGGGGTTGTGCATTAATATAAGCTTTGTATTTGTATTTCTACGAGAGATTAGCTTAGCCCTTCTATATGCTGGCCTGATCGACGCCTTTCCGATGTGCTTTCTATTGGCTAATTGCCACCAAATCAACAACAGCTGGTGGCCGAGACCGCTCTACCACACTTCACACTTTTGAACTGGATTCATGGGGGAGCCTTCCGGACACTGGAAGTCCTTGGCAAAGTCCTTCATGTTGCTGAGCGAGCCCAGCACACGGAACTCAGAGGGCGAATGCACACCGGTGGTGATCCGCATCTTGAGAGATTCTGCAGGCAGAAAAAGGACAAATCTTCAGTATAAATATCGAATGATATTAAGGAATTTCAGTTAACCTTTGCGATATTTGGCACACCAGGTCTGGCCGGCTGAGATCCAGAACATTTGCTGCGGAGTGTAGTCCAGCCCAGGCAGCTTCGGCTCCTCTCCGTGCTTCTGCACCCATCGCTGGTAGGCAATGTACGACTCCTTAACGCCGCCATTGTCGGCGATGTTCTCACCCTGCGTATTGATGCCATTCAACTGGGAGGGAAGGAGGGAAGATACCATTTAGAACTGAGCCAAGCTGCTGAAAAGGAATTGTGACTTACGTGGAGACCTGTGACACGTTCCGTGTAGTTGCCGTACTGCTCGATGATGCACTGGGCCTTGGAGAGGTATGCCTTCTGGGTGTCCGGCTGCCACCAGTCGCGCAGATTTCCCTTGACATCGAATTGCCGTCCCTGATCGTCGAAGCCGTGGGTGATCTCGTGGCCAATCACGTAGCCAATGGCTCCAAAGTTCATGTACTTGGGACGCTGGGCATTGAAGAAGTGTCCCTGGAGTATTCCGGCAGGGAACTCTGTCCAAGTCAAAGGGTAAAGTAAATTAGAATCCCTATTTGGCAGGGGCTTACTCTCTGCTTACGTATGCTGTTCTCCAGGGAGGAATAGAAGGCATTCACGATGGCAGGACGGGCGTGACGCACCCAGTCCGTCTTGTTAACGGGCAGACGCAGCTTGTTGAATGAGTAGTCGGTGCCGAAGATGTTCATGCCCAGGAAGGACTCGAAGTACTTGTCGGGATTGATGTCCAGCTTGGCGTAGTACTTGGCCAGTTTTTCATTGTCGAGCATCTCGTCGGGGTAGCCGATGTGCGTGGCCATGCTGTGCAGCTTCAGCTTGGCCTCCTTCTTGGTCTTGGCATCCATCCAGTTGACCTCATCCAGAATATCATTAAACACCGCTCTGATATCGTTGACCATTTCCAAGGCGTTCGCCTTCGAGTCCTGGTTGAAGTGCTTGCGCACATAGAGCGAACCAACCGATATTCCCAGGCTGATGACGTGTTCGAATGTTAATTAATTAGATGTGATGTCGTTCGTTGTTGATTGTTGATTGGAGATTGTTGATTGTTGATTGTTGATTGCAGATTGTTGTTGTGCAGTTATTGAAATGGTTGCAGGTAGAGTTTGGCGTGAAAGTGAGACACAAAATGAATATGCATAATTAAGATAAAAGCCTTAAGTTAGCTCGCTGTTTGGGGCTACCCGGAGTTCTGGGACGGAAAGGGTAAGGAAAGTGGAGGAACAAAGTGGAAGTCGAACGTGAACAAAAGTGCACTTCAAACTCAAACAAAAAGAAAGAAAAACCCACTCATCAGCTAACGTTAAATGTGAGCCTCTCTCTCTGTGGTTAGCACTACTTATTAATGGACCAACGGGTTTATGTCGCCTTCCTTGTTGGGTTTGGTTTGGTTATAAATGTGTGTGTATGTGTGTGTGTGTGTGTGTATTATAGTTCCCGAGTGAATAATTTTGGTATGCATTTCTCTAAATGTTTTAAGTACCTATCGTTATCTTCTTCTTCTTCATCCATGCTGCAAAGTCACAAAGAAATCAAAAGAAGATACAGAAACAAGTAAAACTTGCTGCAGATATGTACATACATACATAAATACATACATTTACATATATGTATGCATGTAAATATGTATACATATGTAGGCCTAAGCCGAGGCATCGCATCGCATCGCATCGCATCGCCTCCCTTCCCGCCCAGGAGACAGCCGAATGGGTGTGTCCGCCCACTCGCAACACTAACCTGCCGGTGGCAATGTCCACACACTCCTTCCAGCGCGCCTCCTGCTCCTGGCGTCCCGATAGTGCCGTCGCATACTGCAGCTGTCTCTTGCGGAACTCCTCGCTGAGGAAGCCAATCGAGAAGGAGTGAATGCGCCAGAACATGTAGTTGGCAATGTCCCGCTGGGGCGTCTTGGCCAGCAGCTTGCCGAGATCCTCGAAGAAACTGGGCACGGACAGGTTGATCATCTCGTCATCGGCCATGCTGAGACCCTCGGGCAGCAGGGCATTCATGTAGTCCACCCACTGGACGTAGGGATAGGCGGCCTGCAGCTGCTGCGGACTGCGCAGATTGTACAGCTCCGAGGAGTTGCGACGCTTCTCGTTTGGCCACGAGATCTATAAGAGGACAAAATGATGACATTTGGAATTGGAACTGGGATTGTGATCGCTTACATTAGCCAGTGCCATTTCGAACTCGAGAGACTGCAGCAGCTCCTTCTTGGCCTGCTCCTTGTTGGCTCCAAAAAGCACAGCAATGTCCACCATGTAGTCGTAGTAGGCCGTAACCAGGGTCTCATTGAAGCCCTTCACCAGATACTCACGACTGAGTGCCAGAGCCGACTGGTCCAGCTGTAATTCATAGAAACTCCTCAGTTATGCTTCATTTCGGTTGGAATTTCGTTACCGACA